TATTTAATATAAATATTCTAAATACAAGATTATTTTAATAAATTAAAATTAATAGATTATATAGTTTATTTAATATAATAATCTAAAATTCAAAAAATTTTTATTAAATTAAATATATATAAATAATAATAAATAAAAAATTATTATAAAAATGGTGATTCTAGTATAATAGTTGGGTTGTTATTTTTCAAATAGCAGATCTAAAATTCAAATTCCATCTATAATAAAATTTGAAAATTAAGCTATATTATAGAAACTGTCTTCTGTTAATCAGTCAATCTTATATAGTTGTAATTTAGATATATCAAGTCAGGTTCTACTCATCATTGAAAACTTGGGATATCTATATAAAATGTAATGTTATATGTATACAGAAAAATATTAATAACTAGTATTGCATAAGACTTTAGTGTAAACCCATAATAAGATCACTAGGTACAAAAGACTAAAGAACTAAGAAGACAAAATCCTACTTAAAAATTTTCAAATAAAGAAGTAATACAAATTTTTGATAGTGCTGTCAGATTAATGAAAATTCATAAAACATTTTTATAAAAATAGACAAATAAACTAATAACAAAGATGTATAAAGGAGCATATGACTAATTAGGTTATTGGAATTACTAAAAGAAAAGAATACTAAGATATATCATACTGGACCATCTGAATTGGAAGTCTGTAGAGAGTTTGTTAATTTTGAGTTACAGTTAGTAAAGAATAATAAAAAAAATATTAGAAAGATAGGTACTAGGGTTTAGATAAACTTTACAAAAGTAAAAATAATATAATATAGTAATTTAAGATTAATTCTAATTGCAAGTATTAGATAACTATAATATATTATATAAAACTAAATTAGTTGTATATAGGATATAAAAAGTTCTAGTAATAATGCTTCTAAGAATATACTGCATGAAATAAGATATAGAATTCTAAGAGTACAGATAAGCATCTAGGCCTTCTTGACTAAAATGTATATTAGAAATGGTCTAGTAATACAGTAAGGATTACAGTACAGAAAGTTTAAATAAACAATATGACAGCTAGTGTAAAACCATCAACAGACTACTTAAATTAGATACCAAAAGCATATATATAACTAGTTATACTCTCTAATATAAAGGTAACTCCTTTGAGGCCTTGGTCATAAGTCCCTATATCTAAATTAATAAATAAAAAACCCTAGTCTCAAAAGAAACTAGTTTAATATAAAAAAAAATAAAAAATCATTATTATATTTAGAATTCAATAATTTAATTTAAATTTTTTAATTTTTCAAGATGGATTCAATTCTTACTTTAATATCAACCTTTGTTCTAACCTTATATTTACACACAACACATATATAATTAATTACATTAAAAATATTACATATTATTAATCTATAACAGGTTAAGCTAATGGTTTCAATTACTGTCTAACTATGCCTCCTAAATTATAATGAAAAAGATATTGTATTTAGTTATTTGAATAAGCTTATTATTACAAAATTAAAGTTGAATATACAAAAAATAATTTGATTGTATTTTGTTGCTCTTTGTTTTTTGTGATTTCATAAATTAATTTTTTTATCTAAAATAAAAATGTGCAAATTAAAAGTTTAAATAACCCTAATAACTTTTAATAAGGCTTAAAAAAACCAATTTTATAATAAAGTTTATAAAAAAATTTTTAGCATAAAAGATCCTTCAAGTTACAGGCTATACAAATTTGGATATAATTAAGAAAATGATATTTCCGGTCTCACATCATTTTTAGTTATTAATTCAAACTACCAAAATATTAGGCCAACATTATGAACCATGTTAGATAATTCAAAAATCAGTATAATGTAACAAAAATAATATCTCCTGAATATGTTTCTTTGTGGTATTAGTCGTGACTGTTCAATTAAAAGTGCTGCGAAAATATGTGTTCACGAATAAATGATATAGAGAAAGAACAATTCAGCTCTTAAGATATCCTCATTCAAAAAGGTATCATTTAAGTAAGAATGTGTTGAATTAACACGGTTAAAGAAATGACATATTGTTTAATTGTTTAAAGTAATTATAATATACTAGGGAAATATTTATATGATTCATTATTTTAATTTTTAAAATTAAAAGTTTTTTATATAAATATTTACATGAATAATATTAATATATAGATAAGCGATTCTAAAAGAAAACATTTAAGCTTTGAATTTCAAGGCTGAGTATATTTAATTATAAATTCAAAAGCCTGAATTCTAGCCTTCCTTTAATAGTAATTGAATACAAACAAATGGCTATCGTTTTGTTTATTACTTTATACATTTTTCATGCGAGCCACGCGCAAATTATTTTCATCAAATGTTTGAATTCTAATTTTCTTTTAATAGTATTTGAATTCAAACAAAAAGCTATTGCTTTGTTTATACATTTTTTTATATAAGCCACATGCTGTACTTAATAGCTACGCAAAATATTTTCATTCACCAACATGGCTTAGTCTTTTCCAAAGTATTATAGGATTTGATCTTCGCTGAGTTTGAGGTTTTGCCTTTCGCCGGGGGTTTCGCCAGGTTTCGCCGGTTTCGCCAGGTTTGCCAGTTTCGCTGAGGAGTTTCGTCTTTCGTCTTTCGCCACATTTAGGTTTCATCTTTCACCATTTACTCAAAATGGTTTCACCTAACAACACTAACCCTACTCCTAACCTAAATGAACTTAAAGAATTTTCGCCTATATCACGTGACCGCAAAATTTTGTTGGAGATCCTGGATAAGATTTCAGAGCGTCGGAAATCATATAACCCGACACCTCGTTTTCGCCGTGGCTAGGGTACTTGAAAATTTTGGTGGCGATCCTCGGGCGCAAAAAACATTCCTATACTTTTTACTACTTTCACTATAATAACGCGTGACCTTATTAACCCGCGATCTTATTGGTTAGTTTTATGGTATGCATAGATGTATCAAAAATGTATGCTTTGCTCCTGGGTAGTTATCTGATTGGATAAAAATCACGAGGGGATTTTTTGCGGGTGAGATACCGCATTTATACCAGACCTCGAATCTTTTTTCTAATGCAAAGCTCTATATAAAATTATAAGAATACTTTCTTAATGAGATTTAATATCAATTGATTTGTCTTCAGAAAGTATGACTAACGAATTTAAGGGTCTCCGACATTTCCACAACAACCATTTCCCCGACAACTATTTTCCCGAGAATTTTTTTCCCAGCCGACTTTTCCTGATACCACTTCCCGACAATAATTTTCTGTCAATATTTTTGCAGGAATTATTGTTGAAGTTGTGTCGGGAAAGTGTTTCGGGGAAAAATTTTTCAGGGAAATAGGTTTCAGGTTTCCCGACAACCATTTCCCACATTTAACCAGTTATGGCAATACCTTATATATAGCCTTAAATCTTAGCGGTTTATCTCATGTTCTTGGAAGATATTTCGGATATTTCGCTTTTTATATTGCCATTCAATTTTCGGACTAGTATAAAATTCGATTCCATCCATTTCTTTGTTATAAGAAGATTGCAGGCTTTCAACAAGGACAAGCGTCTACACCTAAATATGATACGGCAGGGTGAACCCGCGACAGAAACTGGTTACGTATTGATGCAGATCACTATCTAAAATAGTAACTGATTAAAATGAAATGAGTGATAGTCAAGCCACCAAAAGATGCAAATTTTTGAGGTACATTTTTTTAGGGTTATGATTAGTGTTTAGGGGTAGAATTTATAATAAACAAGCATAGGTGGGATTTAGGAGGTCAAATAGAAATCCCTCATTTCATGATCCGCGACAGTAACTAACCTATCACTAAACCTAACTAAGTAAGTTCTGCATCAACGTAACTACCTCGTCGCGGATTTCACCCTTTCATAATTTGATTTAGGATCTTTGCCTTAAAATTCACCTTATGACATTTTCCCGATCGGTCTTATCCGAAAAAAAAAACAAACCAGAAGTATCAGTTTGTAAATCACCTTTTACCTTTATTGATTCAATAGATTTGTCAACAAACTAATTGAATCAATGAAGGTAAATGTGATTTGCATCTAAATGCCACCCAGTATTTTGATATGGTTGTGAAGGTAATTAATTTCATTATTTGAATCCATTTACCGTATTTTGTAGAATAAAATATCCGATATTACAAATATATATTTAATTATACCCGGGTACCTGTTCCACATTGGAAGCAATTATTAGACATAGGTTTAATCAGGCAGGTAAAACCTTGAAATACGTGTGTAATAAAGGTGGTAACAGAAAGCAAGCCATTAAAAACCTAATGTAATACTGTGTAAATATTTAATATAACCTGTAAATAACATGTATATAACTAAAAATAAATAAAGTGCGCCACCGGCGTCCTAGGATTCACTAGGTTAAAATCTTAAAAAGAAAACATACCCGGGTACTATACTGAGGGGGTTAATAGGCGAATTAGATGAGTGTTCATATTTAATCATCCGATTATAATAACCGGTTCTTTTACATCGTCTATTTTACTTTACAAAATACGGTGTTGCCTTTGTAAGTTGTTGCGCCACAATATCACCATAGTTTTCCTTATTTTTATCAATATTATCATTATTATAATTGCTTGTATAGTCTTTATTTCGCTGTCATACATCGGGAGATCCCTTAACGTTAACCGATATACCATTCCCATTTTAGTATACTATAGACCCAATTTCCGTCATTTCTATTTATGGTATATAGGGAGGGTTCGAAGGATTATTTAGTCAGTCGAGACTATAGTTGTTATCCGAAACCCGAAACTATATATAAAATCCCGAAACCGAAACCCGAAACCCTTTCCGAAACTCTAACACTACTGAAAGGCTTAGAAATTTAATTTTAAACGTTAAGACTTAAAGTATATTATAATTAAATTGCATTTCAGGAAAATTTTGATTACTTTATAGTAAATGTGTATTAATTATTAACATTCCAATTTTAAAGTTTCGGAAAGGTTTCGGGTTTCGGGTAACAAGTATAGTCGAGACCTTGATCATGTTATTGACCATTGAGATTGTGCAAGTCTTGTTAATAATCTCAATGACATTGTCCTTTCTGATATTAAAGGAAATTCATTCCACGCGTTCTGCCTTGGCTGCAGAACATCCTTCATGTATATAAACCCTTCATGTTCACCTTGCTTGTCTTTAGGCTTGGTCTTAGTAGTCCCTATTATATTTTGTTTGCATTGTTAAAGTTAGATTGTTCTAAGACCTATCATTCACCCGATATTCCTTTCGCTGATCTAAACTCGGCCCCGCTTACTGACGCTCTCCCGAATTCCGATAGGAACAACAGTAATTGGTTAGTGGCGCAGCCACAGATGTAAAACGTGACGACCTGATAAAATATAAATATGCAATTATAGACATAGCATGAATATATTTTCTGATCTTTGACGTCAAAAATTGTAATTGCTTTTAAATCGGTTCCGAAGTTCCGTACAAATGTTACATAGATGCCTTTTTTAGACCTTCAAATGACGGTGCAATTTATATTCTTTCAGATCACAGTCGATAATCAAAATGTGGCTTTTTTTAGACGGAAAACATTAGTGTAATTTATATTCTTCCAGATCATAGCCGATAATCAAAAAAGAAAAAAGAAATGCGGTATGCAAATTTAATGAATCCTTTAGATATAGTTTCAGTTAATGGCAGTATTTGGATGTAATTAATTTTTTTTAGTTTCTCAAAATTTTACACTATCCGAAATTTATGTATTTTATTAAAAGGATCATCTATACTACAAGAGACCCCAAAATTCATTGCCCACTGTTGCACTCGATATTCATGAATTTTTGTTAGAATAAATTTCTTTGGTGTAGGGGTGCACCAAGCGCATCCTACAGCAAAATGAATACAAATAAAAATTAGAATTCAAATTAGGGTTAGGGTTGAGGATGGGGTAAAATTGCGAGAGGAACATTTTCTATTTTTTTACACGATAGCATAGTAAAATATTGAGATATTGAGAGGGAGCACCAAAAAATAATGACCTTTTTGATAACAGTATTTTTTTTGATGCTTTGAAATAGATTACACATTATTATACTATAATTGTGTATTATCTTTACAAATATGAGGAATTTTGTCATCATGCTTGGATTATTAATATGAGTGTAGTGATCCTGGTAGTTTTCCGAGTTGGTTAAAATCTTTATCAATCGGTTAGTTGCAACTAATCGACTTTTCATATCATGTGACTAAATTTGTTGATTAGCCAATCAAACTAAAGAAATCAACACAAACCAGCCCAAATAGACGTAATATCTCGGAATTTAACTAGTTGATGATTTAATTAATTAGTTGGTTCAATTTTTTTTCATTGGAAATGGTTAACTAGTCGATTTCCAACTAACGATTTATTCCCGGTTTAAGCGCGACTAAATCGCGCAACTAACCTAAAGATTTGCGGATATAATTATTCGGATAAGTTATTAGTATATCCGGATTCGTGTATTTGTAACGGATCAATTATCCGGATTCCCGGCGTTGTTATTGGACCAAAAATATTTTTTTCATAGTAGCAAATTTGTATAGATTTATTGTTGGAATGTAACTGGACTAAAGTAAGCTGGATTGGACTAACTAAATTGAATAGAATTGGACTGTTCAATTACCCAAAACTGACGAGTCAGAATTGAATGGACCAACAGTCCAATAAACTGGACTTATGTCCAATAACAACCCTAATCTGGATTTCCACAATGGTAACTGTAAAAAAGTTGGTATACTATTGGAAATTTTCGGACTAGTAACTGAGCATGCCGACGGAGTATTTCGGGATGTTGTAAATTCAAATTACGTATCGGTATTAAATTCTGGAATAGCAGATAACTATTAACTGACATAGGAAAACCTCGATTTGTAAGAAAGTCCCAAGCGGCGATTCTTCTAGATCATAACTCATATAGATAACGAGTTATCCGAATCATCCGGGTTTAAGTTCTAAATCTGTAATCATAATCAAGTGTTAAATTGGTATAAAAAACCTTTATTGTAAGTTAATTGTAGGGGTCTGCAACCCGGGCTCATGCCTGTGCCCAACAAAAAATCTAGGCATGGACATGGGCACAGGCACAAAAAACTCGGCATGGGCATGGGCATTTGCAAACCCCTAGCTAATTGTATAAAAAAATTATATTAACTTCTAACACTTTCTACTATTTTAATTTGCTATTTTTATACCTTACCAGTGCTTGACATGATCAAGCAAAAATTTGATATTTAACTATTGATTAAGTTAGATATTAAATAATTATAGATCAAATCAATATACAGTATAAACATATATATATATAACTTATTTAGTTATAATTATTAAGTATTTGATTCAGTCAAGTATTTGAATATCAAGTTTTGCTTAATTTTTTTAAGCACTATATTCTTCAATTACAGTCGTATTCCTCTATAATCACTCAGTTTGTTCTATACAAAAAAATATGTAATTATAAAAATTCTATTATAATGTGAAGTATTTTTTATAAGTTTATTAATGAATTTTTCGAAATTTAAAAGGTGATTATATAGAATTTGTGATTATATAGGTGATTATAGAGGAGTACGACTGTATAATCGATTTTTTAAACTATATACTACATAATAAATATATAATTAAAATATTGTATTTTAGTAATTCTAACTATATTTACTATTTTTTATAGAATATAAATTAACTAACAACTTGTGTCATATATTTGATTTATAAAATTAAAAATTATAGAATAACTTTTCAACTAATATTTAATTCTTATCTTTACTGTATTTAATATTTTTTTAATAAAATTAACTATTTATTAATAATTTTTGGTTTATGTCAAAAAAACTTTTACTAAGATTAACAAACATGTTTCATTTATATTTTAACTATATTTTTTACCAATTTTATTTTTTTAGCAACTTAAAAAATTATATATATGGTGAGTCAGTAGAAACGCACCGTATCATTTTTAATGAAATTTTTTTGAATCTTTAAACAAAAATAACTTAGCAAAAACTTAAAATTTAATATTTTTTTAAAAAAATGAATTCTATAAGTTTTAGAATTGTTTTAAAAAATTTTTTATTAAAATTGGTAAAGTTATTGTTGAGTTATCTTTGTTTAAAGTTTTAAAAATTTACTTAGAAAAAATATGGTGCGTTTCTATTGACTCACCCATATGTATATTAAAGAATGCTATCTATGTTTTTTTTTTTTGCAAGCAGATTTTTTAAAAATGTTAATCCAAAAATTATTAAAAAAAGTAATATATAATTTATCAATCTTTTCATTTAAAAATAAAAACTCTAAATTATTTTTAACAATAAACAATCTTTGTGACTGTGAATTTCGTTTCTCTTTTTTCTAATCATTTTTAATTTTGCTTAAATTCTAATAGAAAGTTAACTTGTGATTGCATAGTATCAAATCATTTTATCGTTCAGTAAAGTGGTGGATCAGCAGATTACATAAAGTCTATATGAATACATAGAAGGGGTTTATATGGTTACGGCGCAATTCACCGAAAGGTATTTATTTACCCGCCAATTCATTTCTCTGTACCGTAATGCTGACGTGCTATTTCATCTACAGTACATTAAGACATATATTTGACATTACATGTTTTCGACGATCCCTTTCTTGGACGAGATATTTCCCCGACAATTATTTTCCAACATATAATTCTAACCAACTCTAAATCGGGTCTTGCCTAAGAAAATGATTATCGAAAACATATCAGCTATATGTCTTACCGAAAAAATGTGCTGTAAATAAAATAACATGTCGGCATTGCAGTGTCGGGGAAATGAGTTGGCGAATAAATAACTTTAGGGAATTAAGCGACAACCGTAGGGAGTGTGGCATGGCATAAAAATTTGGCATGCAATTAGCCAAAATTTAAGCCATGTCATACTATAGGCATGCCATAATATAATTGAACTATTTTGGACATTTGCTTCAAAATTTCTCTTATAATTTTATGTTATTTGATTTTCTATACAGAATATTTCAGAATGTTTATATCGATATGATTTTCTCGACACTACTTTCACCAACACCACTTTCCTGACACTCATTTTCCCGACAAAACATTTGCCCGGCAATATTATTTCACCGAGTGCTTTCTCCTCAACAATTATTTTACCGAATATTCTCAATAATAGTTATTACCCCGACAGCCATTACTTTAAAAAGCACTAATAATTACCCTTGCCCTAACATAGCTTCTCTCTAACATAACTCGGAAAAGTGATATTCAGTAAAATTATTGTTGGAAAGAAAGCACTATCAGTGAAATGATACTGTCGGAGAAATGTTGCCAGGATAATTATACTGTTGGGTAATAATACTGCCGGGAAAACGAATGTCAAGAAAGTGGTGAAAATTAGTGCCACCTTAATAGAAAATTATTAATATGATTATTTTGTAATCTAGGAATTAGAAACGAATGCTTTTCATATTCTTCGATAAGACAAATTGAATAGTATAACTTCGATATTTGTTCTGCCACTCTCCCCACCCCTTTTACCTTATAAAGTCAAATTTTATTAAATAAATGAATATTAGTATATTAAGTATTCAGCAAATCAAAATATACTGTTGAGCCTCCCAAAACTGATCTGTTAAAACCAGTAACCCGTTAAATTTGTGAAAATTTAATCTACCAAGTACGTTTTCTGCTATATAAATTTAATAATTTATGTCTTAAACTGATAACCTCTCAATATTATATTGATATAAACTTGCCCACCTGCATATCGATTTTGGGAGGTTCAACAGAATATTCTAAAAATTTGATATGAATTAACTTTTTATTAATATATCTTTATTTTTTGTCATACAAAATATTGAAAACCAGGTTTAAAACTTTTGTTCCAAACAAAACAGGTTTAACTTAGGTTTGAACTATATAAAAACCCTGGTTTTGGGTTTTTTTGGAACATAAAGGTTTTAGACCCTAAACCGAACCTAAACATGCCTAAACTAACTTTACCATCCCTACTCATGGGAAAGAAGATGCTTTTCTAAAGCGTATAGCCATGGAAAAGATTGATTACATCCAGGACGTTTACAAGTAAAAGGTTTAAACCTTATATGTACAATTATATGATTTTCCAAATCAGATTGACAAAGGAAACGATAATTACAACTCGGTTCATTGCATGCATACTGTCCTTTTTGAAATATTATACTAGGTTGGTCACCTCGGTATGCATGTGAACATGAATCTGTACATCTTTTATACGACTTATCTTCTTCAAGCTTATTAGATGACCAACATTCTATCATCTGTTCACGTAACTCTTGTGTTCTAGATAATTTGGACTCTTGGTCTATAGTCATTTTATCATAAGTTCCTCGATTCACCTCTGGAACTGAAGATGGGTCGTTATATGTCATGCAAGACATCTCTGGACAAATATGTTCGTTCAAAGATGGCATCACTTCTTGATTTATAGATTCCCTAGTGAAATTTGGACCAAATACAGATTTTCGCTTTCTGTAGCGTACCACCTCAGAATTCACATATGGATCATTCATATTTATTGATTCATGAATTATAGATCGACGGGAGAGGTTCTGATTATATTTTGTGTAGTGAGCCACCTCCGGATTAACATATTGACCATTAATGTGTGAAGGTGTTTCATCAATTACCGATGAACCGTAAATATTTTGATTATATAGCCACTCATTATCCTTGAAAAGTGGATTCACATATGAATCGTGCATAGGTAAGGTTGTTTTATGAATTATAGGGGAATGAAGATCATTTTGGTTAATTGGTCCATAATATGGTTTGTCAATAGGTGGTCGATCGATCTTGTTCTTCGTTGGTAAGGGTAAGTTGAGTTTAAGCGGTGTGTTACTGTTAAATAGTGCCAAATTTGGAACTGAGCGTGATTCTTTTTTTTGTTCCTCATCATTAGTCAACACAGGTTGTGCTGGTATCTTACTTGATGATGCTCCTAATGCTTCTGGATTAAATTGCACTTCTTTTGCGGATGCAGTCATTGATTGCATTATATCTGTTGGGTTCATAGGGGACTGTGGTGACCCTTGATCAGCAAGTATTTCATCGTTTGATTGCTCATTTGGATTTATACCTGTTTCTTTGGTAAGCACATGCGAATTTTGTGATGTAATGTCACTTTGACAAGAGTTGGAGAGCTGATTATCGCCAAGTATGTATAATAAAGAGTGTTTATTTGTATTTTCTTGGTTTTGTAAGTCCTCATTATCTGGAATATTTTCCATAAGCTGGCCAGTTAAAGATTGCATTCCCCTTATTACATCAGTTTGCTTATTAAATAAAATGCTCACATTACCTACTAAATCAATTTCTGAATCGTCTCGTATTTCCTGTGATAAATCCACATCATTTGCGGTATTCTGAAATGACTCATACAAACTTTCTTGTGACGAACCCGTCTCGTGACCACTATCACAACAATCAAGAGATGATCTTTCCGGAAATTTTCTAGATGGACTGATGTCCTCAATGTCGGCTTCCTCAACTGCCATTCTAACGTCATCATATACTAATTCATTATTCTTATTGTAGAAACAAAGTTCAAACAATTCCTCTTCAGTTTCATCACTGTTATAAGACGAATCAAATTCATCGCTAAGTACAGATGTCTCATCTGTAAAACTCTCTTCATCCGATTCTAATTCTTGTTTTTTCTGTGTCCGAGTATTTGCTTAAAATTCATTAGATAAATTTAGTATGCCAGAAAGCGTGTTTGTCTTAAAGTTGGCTAATTCCACATACTTATCGTTCGTGAATTTTCTTCTCTTAATTCTGGATAAATAAGGTCATACGGATAATAGCTCATCTTGTAAACAATAAACAAAAAAAAAAAGAAAGCTTGTTGAGCAATAATCAATATTCAAATTTCGTAATAATTGTTGAACAATAATCAATCAATATTCAAGTTTCGTAATAATTCTAAGCAAGATACTGCTTCGTAAAATTCTGTAAAAAAGTTTCAATTTTGTAATCGGAATAAATATTTTTTAAAATAAAGGTGAAAAAAATACGGTTTTTTTCGAAAATATTGGTAATTTCAATTTTTCTTAACGGAATTTCGTCGTTACTCACGAAATTTATTATCCCAACAGTAACGCGACAAGAAAATAATTATACGCGACGAACAGATGTGAGAGTTAAATACATATGCAGATCTGTAAAATCCAGGGGTCTTATATGGATTTTTACTAAGCCACCACATCATATGATCATTTGGATGACTGTTCATGTGGTATTCACAATTACAGTAATTTAGGTGAACAAATTAAATTTTAGTAAGATCATCAAAAACTTATCGTTATACGTGTCATAAATTTCATCTTTTTTGATCACCAAGTTAAAAAAAAAGCTCAATACAAAAATCTTTAGTATATATATGCACATAATATACATATATATATATGTATGTATATATTTTTTTTCGTAGAGCAAGCAAATGAAATTTCTGTGGCCAACATAGCGGTCAGTGGAATCCGATTGGTCGATTATTGTTACCTATTGTACCAGAAAACAGAACACATGTTTATAAATTGCTCCTTTCGCTTTACTAAGGATTTTAAAAGTTCCATCCGGCCCAACTTGGCTCCAAAAGTCAAGTCAGTAAATCAGAAGTTGGCCTGGAGTTTTGCTCATGCATAATGATTAAAACTTGTTTCCAACCTGGTCCTTAAAAATTCCAGTATATATCAAATTTGAAATCAAGGGGGTTAATAAGATCGGACTAGTTCTTAACTAGTTCTATCAGGATGACTATTTAAATAATCCAAGAATTAGCTATAGAAAGTTGTTTTTCAAGTAAAGTCGTTATTCATTCTATATATATATATATATAAAGTATTAACACTTCTTTCATACGTATAAGAATTTCTAGGATTTATAGTAAATGAGTTCGCTTCCAAGAGATCAATATTGTCGATCTATTTTTCTACATTGATTAACAAAACCAATTGTAAATCTTAATGAAGCCAATATATTTATATAGAAATGAGATTCTAAGCCTTTCTTGGGCATTAATAAAAAATGTTGGAAAATGTTGGGAGAGTAATTTTATTTATCGTACTTGCTTAAAATATCTTTAGACTAACTTTAATTTGAATTACTTGGCTTTAGACGTGCTTCAAATAAGAACATTTGAAAAATAGATCAATAATGCTATCTCTGGTAGTAATTACTAGAGCTAGGTGGTTATTTAGATTTAGCTAGTAAAGCTTTATGCAAAAAATAAATTAATTGCTAATGTAAAATATTTTAAAAGGCTTATTTAAAGAATTATATTTTAAATTAGCTTTAAGTCTAGACTTTAATACCAACTGCGATAAACAAAAACTAAATATACTTAATTTTATACAGCACAAATAGAGTAACTTTTTATTAAATGATCATCTGTGGTGATATAAGTTTTGCTAAAATTTGGGGGATTAGATATAATAATCCAATTTTAGGTTACACGAGGTTTCGGGGTTCTGAATATTTTTATTCCCCGCTTCTTAGTAATACAGGTGATAATCACCTTTAACAATTTCCTTTTATTATTACATATTTTGTTTATTTAGATTCGGTTTTGCTCATACGATTAGAGATAAACCTTTTTATTACGTATGCTACGTGGTCTACGTGACTTATTGGTGTCTCGTGCTAAAAGGGCTCATTTTGACATAAAAATTTTGAAAAATTATCAAAATGAACCCTTTTAATAATGAGGCACCCACATATATGAAATAGAATCTGATAAACCGAAGAGAAAAGTTGTTTCATTGACTGCAAATCATCAAAATCATCACGAGGACCTTTTCGATTTTCATTGCATAAAAGTGCATCCTCGCCACTTGAGTAATGATAGACAACTTGTGGATTTCCCACATAATATACCGGATATAAAATATTAGGATCTTTGGGGTATAGGTGATCCTTTAATACGTAAAGTAAATTATTGATTGATTATAAAGTTGAATCACTTATGCCTAAGGATGGGAACTTACATAAGCGACGTAGCAAATTACTACCCAGACTTGTATTCTACGTGGAATGTCTAAAAGCCCACGAGGATTTTTAATAAATTTTAAATTTACCCAGGATTGAGAAAAAAGAAGTTGTTACGAAATATCTCGAATAGAAAGTGAGTGGACGAAACCACGAGCAAAATTAGAGTAAAATTACGAGATTTTTTTGCTAGCATCAAACTACCCTCCTTGGCATAACGATAATCTGTTTTATCCATTTTTAGTAATATTAATATATAAAATGCTCGGATATGAGTGAAAATCCGGGAATACATTTAATGATTTATTATGATTGGTTACGGGTTTTCACTCTCATGCACTTATATAATGGATAGTATCCGGGTATTTTAATAAGAGAAAACTACTTGATAAATCGGCAACTAATTTAAAGATTAGCAAATAGTATTCAATATTAGTACCCCTTAAAATAGTACATCTTCCGATCATAGTACCCTGTTAGTATAGTAACCGAGTATAAATCAATATATTATAATATTCTCGGACTATTATCAGCACTATTTTTGCCAATTTCTTTGAAAGTAGCAACGATAAATATTTAGGTCGTCTAAATGAAGAATATACAGTATAAGTGTGAAGAGAAAGCCAGAATTCATAAATATTGTCACGGGGTAAAAGTGATATTTCCGATGATCGACTAGAACTGCGGTATATTCATCTGATTTTCGAAACAGGGTCTCCAGAAGGAAAATTACGCGTACGATCTACGAGGCTTAGACGCAAATGCTGGAAGGTTCTAGAAATAAGCAAAGAGAAGAAGGTTCACGAAGGAATTACGTGTAAAGGGAAACCTCAAAGAAACGAAAGGAATAGATTGGCGGGATTAGCGCAGGCTTGTTGTAACTTCCCCAAGCTTCTTATGATAGTTCGTTTATAAAAGAGTGTCATTTTTTCTTTGTAATAAAAGAAGACCCTTCGGGACAATAATAGTTAAATAAATAAATAAAAAATTCTATTACTTAGTCTTAGCCCTGCATAACGATCCAATTAAACTTTATTAAATTCTGCTTAATCCGTAATAGATAGACATAATTATAACGCTAAATCACGATTGTCACGACCCTGGCGAGTTGCCTTAACGCATAATCGTTTTATTCTTAAACAATTTCCTTTAAAACGTTAAACTCACCCCGTAAAAATGTCGAATGCAACAGTAGACAATGAATTGTGAGTTAAATATATGTATAGACTCTTGATTTTGTTAAAAGCCTAAAAATTCTGTTTTTACAAAAGAGATGGATTAAAAACTATTGAATCAAATTTTACACTTATCCGAAAATTGAATAGCAATATAAAACCTTAAAGCAAATGAAACATCCTCTGCCGTATTGTCTCGAAATAACGCCCATAAGATTATCGTTTAACTTATTAGCCTGGACCTGCTGAGACATGCTATTTGACATTGTTATTGTTATAAATAAATATAAAAAAATAAACCTTCTACTTCAGTCTTTCAGACAATTGTATTGTCAAATAACCTGTCTCACTACCAAAAATTCTTGGGTACTGGGCTTTTCTTCTGCATAGTTTTGCATATTGGCCATATGTTATTATAATTATACCCCTGTTCAATACAATATACACCTCCTACGGGTACAGCTCAAGAAATTGTGAATATCTGGATACATCAGTTGACACTTTACGGTATAGAATAAGTGAGATAAAACGCTTTCTATTAATGATAAATAAAAATATTTTTTAATTAATAAAATTTTATGTCGCAATTGTTGTGAAATACAAGTTTTTGAAACCATTACATAAACTCCAGTTGATACAATTTATGTATTCAATTAGTATTGCTAAAACTTGTAGTCGCACTTGTCGAAGACAAAATTTTTATAATAAATTTTATTAAGAAAATATTCTCATTATGGTTTTATATAGGATCTTTGTAATAAAACGTGCCAAACTGCTCCTGGAAATAAGTTCTTGTCAGATTACATTTTCAAAAAAATTTAGGCGACTCATTTATTTTCATGTGTGCGGATCCAATCAAACTGCTTTATTTCAAAAAAATCAAGTAATTTGATTGGATGCATATATACATTGCAAATTAAAAATAAATTTCCGGATAAGTTTGATTACCATTTTTTGAGAGGGCAATTTCAATTACAAACACCCATATTATGGGTTGTTTTTTAATTGTACCGTTCATTATATAATCCGAATTTAATTTGTGCGTCATTTAGGGTCAGGAATGGGCCGGGCATGGCTGAGTCCGAAACTAACCCTGAAAAATATTTTTGAGCCCGGGCCCGGCCAGAACAAAAAGCCCGAAGTAGCGGCCGTCGGGCTTTACTTACAACTGTTTTCATAAATTCTGAAAATATGACCGATCGAATATTTGCTAATTCGATAAATTTTGATAAACTTTTGATTCGGATGTGATTATATCCGAATCAAAAGTTTATCACTGTCGAATCAAAATTTATCGAATCGGCAAATATTCGATCGGTTAATTTTTGACAGATTTTCCAGAATTTATGAAAACAGCTGTAAAATTAGGCCCGTCCAAGCCCGCACGTCCCGGACCCTAAGTGTCATTGATGATTTTGGTGGTTATGTTAAATGATAAATGTAATGATTATATAAATATACAGTATATTTCTTTTTTTGAATTAAAATCAAATATAGTTCAGGTTTTCTAACTTATCATACGTTGTTATTTCATTAAGAACTTAAGTTTAGTAATACATATAATTGGTTTTGCGGTACTTAGATGCTGGTGAAACTGGTGGCTATCTAAAATCTGATTGGCTGCTATATTAAATTTCCAAGATTTCACCGC